CTGAATGCCAAAGGGGCTGGAATCCCTGGGCCTGGGGGCAGAGGGTGGCACCGCCGGAGAGACCTGGGGTCAAGGGACAGAGCGATGGTGATGGGGACCAGACTTGGGGAGACGGCTTGAGGATGATGGACAGAGGCATGGGGGACAGGGGGACAGGACTGACAGATTCCGAGCTGGGGACAGGGAACTGAGGATCAGACACTGGGGACGAGGGGACAGGACAGGGGACAGAAGAAGGAAGAGGTATAAAGGAGAGAGGAAACAGGGCAGGGGACAGGGGTGGGGACAGAGGACAGAGAGCAGAGGGACACAAGGATACAAGATGAGGTTCAGAGGATTGAAGAAAAGGGGGCTGGGGATGGTGTTGAGAGATGGGGACCAGGACCTGAGCAACGAGGACCAGAGATCAGGATTGGGTTTGAGGGAAGACAAGAATGAGGGACAGGGAATGAGTGTCTTGGAAGTAGGACGGCTGGAGGGCTGGAGGACTAGGGGAGATAGAGGGACAGCAGCCAGAGAGTGACAGCCGGAGGGGAGGCAGCTTTGGTGGGCACTGGGGAGAGGGGGCCAGGGAGGAGAGGGCTGAGGGGCTGCAGAGGGACTGAGGCAGACAAGGCCCTGGAGAGCTGAATCTTGTCCAGGGACGAGGCTGAGACAATCCCGGTCACTCAGGGGACAGAGGAGTGGGGTATGGGCTGAGCAGTCAGGACCAAGAGGATCTGGGAGGAGACAAAGAAAGCTGGGAGGGGGCACCCAACACCCAGGGTCTCATACCTGCACAAACACGCACGTGCCTTAACCCCACCGGATACATCCAGGTCCCACTCAGGATGCCACCCTGGATTCTGCATCTCACCCCAACCCCTGCCCTGGACCTCCTCTGCTCTTGCAGCTCTGCCTCGAGGAGGCCTGACCTGGTGCCCTGGGCAGGGTCCTGGGGCTGACATCCTGGGTTCAGAGCTGCATTCTCACCTTGGCAGGATGAACTTCCAGAGTCGACGGCAGTGTTCCTTATCCATGCTCAGTTATACCACAGATCCACCCCCTCACACAAGAACAGCTCACGGGGTGCAGTCATACCCGCAGCCACACATGCACAGACACACACTGGGATTCACACACATAGACCTAGCCTGTAGAGACTCACATGCCTGGACAGCCCCTGCCTCCCACCCACAGTCAGATGCATAGAACTGCAGCCAGTACACATGTGCACACATACACATGTAAAGATGCATGCACGTGAAAATATGCACATCTGTGGGCAGACAGCACATGTATAAAAAGACCCTCAAACTTGCATTCATGTCCATAGAGAATATGCACACAGACATAGATAAACCCATAATCTCCAATGAAACAGGGGCCACTCAGGGAGCAGGGACCACAGCAAGAGAGCTGAGGGGTGAGTAGGAAAGAAGGCACCAGGGGCCTGGGGACTCTTGGAGCTGTGGCCTGAGAACAGTTTTCCCAGGGTTGTGTGGCGAGAAGGGGTCCGTTTCTTCACCCAGCAGGATTTTGAGGTGGCCCACATTGAGGCTCTGGGCGTTTGGGTGGTGCACCCCTGACTCCTTGCTTCAACTCTTTTCCCAGGAGGAGCTGGCAAACCCAGAGCCCCTGGGAGGGGACTTTGACCAGGCTCAGGAGCGGAGAACAGACATTAGCCTGGGAGAGAGGATGTGTCCGGGAGGGGCAACAGTTGGGAAAGAGGCAAGGTCACAAAGAGAGGAAGGGGGGACATCTGTCGGGGATGCGGGGGAGGGAGTCATTGTCCAAGGGCCAGGCTATGCCTGTCTGATCAGTACAGCAGTGTACCCATAGCCTGACATGGGTTACCCACTCGGGTTGGACAGTCCTAGATGGAGGCCTGAGGGACAGCCAGGAGTCCCTGGGTGGTGCAGAACCGGGACCACCAGGGAGGCTGTTAGAACTCAGGAAGAGGGTTCTGTTCCTAGCTGGGGTCCTGCAAAGGTGACAGTGCCCCAGGCTGCCCAGGTGCCCCTGTGCCAGGTCCCTCACGGGCTGGGGACAGCCCTGCACCTGCAGAGATGCCCGGGAGCCTCACCAGGCTTGAAGCCCCTTATCACTGTCTGGTGTGGATTATCTACCACTTTGGGGTGATTTCCGAGGCATTCACATCCCAGCTGACATCCCCTGGCCACCCCGAATTCTCCAGTCTCACCACCATGTGCTGCGTCCTCAGGGAATGTAAATCAATTTAAGTATTAGTCTCAGTGAAATGGAATGGGGGAAGGTGCTAGAGAAAAAAAGAAATGGCATAATGCCTTCCGCAGTCGAACAGGAAAGGCTTAGGAATTATCGTGCTTCTCAGAGCAGGAGAGGGACTGGTCTGATCCCCCAGCAGAGCTGGGCAGGTAGGCCCTGGAGGGATACCTTCGTTCATCTTGCCGATGAGGAAACTGAGGCAACAAGGGGTTAAGTGGTTCATTTCACTGAAGACCCTGAGAGACCATGTGTCCAATCCTCCCATTTGCAAGTGGGGAGACAGGCCCAGAGAGGGTCATTGACTTCACAGATATCACACAGACCTTCAGTCCAGCAGGGCAAGAGGCAAGAGAGAGCCCAGCCCTGGTGAGCAGAAGGTTGGAATCTCCAAGGGGACTCAGGCCCGATTTGGGTGGGCCTAATGCTGGAATTCTCTCCAGCCCTGATGAGACCTCCTGTGGGCCTGGAGCTTCCCATGAGAGACACTCTGTTCCCCCTACAGAAGGGGACATAAAGTAGGGAAGAAAGGGACAGAGGGAGAGGAGGGGTGGGATGGACAGAGAAGGGTCTGGAAGGAATTGGAACAAGCGGTCTTGGAATCCTATAGCTCTTCCTGAATCCAATAGAATCGACTTTTGACTTATCTTTGGATAATCTGAGCCCCCTGGCTGACTGATCAAGAATCAGCTGCAGACACAGTTGGGGATTCCCAGAGGGGAGGGAATGGCCTGGAAAGTGGCGTCTGCTGACAGTTGCCCCTAGAGTTAGGATGTTCCGGGGGAGAAGTCCAAGCAGTGGACATTCATTCCAATTGCCCCTGGGTAGGGGCAGGTCTGAGCTGCATCCAGGTGATGCTAGAGAAGGGGCCTTCCAGCTTGGAGACCCTGTCTGGGATGTGGGTTGGGGTAGGGGAGTCCACACGTCCCCTTTCCCCACCTTCTCCCCAGACTAGGCCCGGCTGGTCTGGGGGAAACTGCAGTGCGGCCCCCTCCCCCTCCCACCAGCCAGCAGGAGGAGAGAGCTTGCCTGACCCAGTTTTCTCTCCATTGCCTGAGAGGGAGGGAGGGAGGCGGGAAGGCTTCTCTGCCTGTGCCCCTGGCGTGGGGCCGGCTCTGCTCTGCTCGGCTCAGGGAAGGGAGATCCCTCTGCGGATACTGGCTCCATCCCCTGATCCTGCCTGGCCCCTGGGGGCCTGGGGAGGAGCTCAGAGGCCCCTCCCTGGTTCTTCGAGTCCTCTCTCCAGCTGGCCTCTGGGACCCCTGACAGTGGGGTAGGGAGGAGGGAAAGAGGAAGAGGAAGAAAATCAGCAAATAAGAGCCTCCTCACTCCAACACTTCCTGAGGACACTTGTCTCCATCTTTGAGGGGCAGGCGCCGAGTTATGCAGATCTCAGGCGGAAGGACACCCAGCCTCTCTTCGGGAAAGTTCCAGGAGGGCCCTGTTTTAACTCTGTGACCTGCCCAAGTCAGCGATTGCGTTGGTTGGAAGCCCATGAATACTGGCTGGGAGAGGGGTACAAAGAAGAGAAAGCGAAATGAAAGCTGTCAGACTTGGAGCCAAAGCCCTTTCATCAGATGGATCAAAGGAAGCAGGGGCCCAGAGAGGTGAAGGGACTTACCCAAGGACACACAGTAGTTAGAGACTGCTGGGATTCAAGCCCTGATCTCATCACAGTTTAGTGCATCTTCATCACGGTAAAGTGAGTGGGTGGGCCCTAGGTACCTAGAGAGAGGCAGGAGGGTGAGGACTTAGGGAACGGGAACCAGCTTTGGTAAGGCACTGGCTCCAGGTTTTACAGTTTCCCCTTGCCCACCCGCAGGTATTATCATCCCCATTTTACAGATGAGGAAACTGAGGTTCAGCGAAGTGAAGGTCACCTGCTATCAAGTAGCTGTACCGAATATGAGCCCAGCGGTGTCTGATTCCAAAGGCAGGCTCTTTTCTCTGCCATGTTGTGGACACTTTGCAGGGTCTCCTTGGAGGGTCTGGCTTAAAATAAACTTGCCTTTGGGCCAGTGCTCCTTTCCCACCATGGTGACACCCAGAGATTCTGCTCCTTGGACTCAAGCCACCAGGGCTTGTGGTCTTATCTGTGATGCTCTGGGCACCAGCCCTGCGGCTGCACCTGTGGGGCTCCAGGCATGTTGCTGAGCTTCCCTGAGGCTCAGTGTTTTCATCTGTAAAATGGAGATAAAAGTGTACACCTTTCAGCATTGTTGTGCTGGCCGCAGATGAGCTGGGTCCCAAGCTTCCCCTCCAAAGCCCAGCCCACAGTCAGTGCTCACTAGCAGGCAGCTCTGACTCCTGCAAATCCCTCAATGTCACATGTGCACAGAGGACCTGTGGGGTGCAAGGCACCCTTCGGGGGACACTGATGATTGTAAAGCTGGGGCTAGGTCATCTTCACAACCACCTGTAAGGCAGACATCACTGTCACCCCATTTTACAGGGGAGGAAGCTGAGGGGAGGGGAGGAAGCATGCTGTGGGACACCCAGCTCCAAACTGGCAGAGCTGGGATTCTGGCCCACGCTTCCCAGACGGCTGAGCCCATCTTTTAGCCACACCACCTCACCACCAGCCGGGGCAGCCTGGCACTAGGGGCAGCTTGCATTCTGGGAGGTTAGAAGACTGTGTTTTGGCTGTGATGGTGGAGGAAGGCTTCAGGGAAGAGAGAGCACTTGAACTAAGCCTTGAAGGACAGGGAAGTGACAAAGCACCCAGAGACTGGAGCTGGCATGTTCGGGGCCAGGAGCAGCCAGAGTGGCTGTGCCGGGCTGGTCCTGTGGGACTGGGGAAGGGGGGTCCCAGAGGTCTGATGCGCTCTTGTCTCCTGTTCTACAGTGAATTTGCTGGACACCTCGACCATCCACGGGGACTGGGGCTGGCTCACGTACCCAGCTCATGGGGTAAGTGATGGCAGTGGGGCCAACATTGTCCCTCTGTGAGCAGAGAGAGGCTGTGACTCAGAGTCTTATCATCAGACAGATCAAAAGGAAGCAGAGGCCAAGAGAGGTGAAGGAGCTTACCCGGGGACACACAGCAGTCAAGGACAGAGCTGCTGATTTCCTAACAGTTTAGTGCACGCAGACCTTTTGGATTCCAGAACCAGTCCTGGTGCCGGGCTCCTGATTCTTCAGGTCTGACGCCTGGGTGTGGGATCCTTATGTCTGTGTCCTGGGCCTGCAGGTTCACCTTGTGCCACAGCCGGTCCCACAGTGGCCGGGGAGGTGTCAGTATCGAGGAACAGGGCAGCCTGGCCTTCCACTTCTGCAGGATTAGTCCTCCCTTCATGACCTCCCTGCCCTCACCTGAAGCCTCCAATTGTTCGCCTCTTCTATCAGGACCCCCGGGGTGGTTCTGCCAGCCCCAGCCTCCCAGGCCCATGTGGCCTCCATGGTGATCCTGGGCTCAGCCCATCAGGTCCCTGTAGGTCATGTACTCAGGCAGCACTCCGTCCTTCCCTCCTGGGGAGTGGGCATGGTAACCCAGTACCTCCGATTCTCTTATCCAAATGCCAGAGATCAGTAAAGCCAAATCGAGCCCAAGAGCTTGACGGGGTGTGGCGCCACCATCCACATAGTGGGTGGCCCTGGGCCACCACTTCACTTCCCTGAGTCAGTTTCCCTGTCTGTAGAAAGGAATGAGCATGTGATGACCTCGTGGTGTTGGTTGAGAGGGTGAGGGAGATGACACGTGGCCTTGGCCCCATGCCTGGCACATGGTGAGCCCTCATTATGTGTATTACTATCATTACCGTTGTTATTAATCTGTATGATGGTTGTATCTCACATAAACTTCCTCCTACAAACATGCTCAGGAGCACACACACACACATCCCCGCCGTAGACACGAGCACGTCCTGCACACACACCTCCTTTCATGAACACTTTGGCTCCCGTGGCTCTGGAGACAGAGGGGTAACACTGGTAATAATGACGATGATGAGAGTGACCCCCAGAGTGGGTATTTGTGAAAGGAGTATTTCTTTACTTTGGGGTGAGATTTTCATCCAGGCTGTTTGTGGCCTGTGACTGGGGTCAGGATGAGCCCCACTCCTCTCTTTGAGGTCTCATCCCCAGGTAGCAGTAAGCTGAGTCTGCTGTCATTGGCCCCCATCCACCAGGCTTCAGGGACCTGGAGGGACGGCCTGGGGGCCTGACAGCCAGGAGGGACACCCTTCTCAGCCTGAGCAGGTCAGCCCTGCCTGAGGACAAAGGCTGGGTCCTGGCGGTGTCCTCTTACATCCCTGGGCCTCAGTCACTCCCCGTGAAGCGCTCTTCTGTGTGTATCCCACATGGCTGTCTCCCGGGGTGAGCTTGGGTGGAAGGGCTTTGGCACAGGGAGCGGCTCTGCCGGGAGCTGGGGGCTGACCCATGAGGAGGTGACTGCCTGGCTGTTGGTGGGGGGGGTCCGCAGTTCCCCTGAGACCCAGCAGCTAGGAAGGAACGGCCCTAGTCCCCGAGTTTGGGTCTGGACGTCTCTGTCCCTCTGTCCCATTCAGAGCTTAGGACTTGGTTTTTAGGATAATGGAGTTGTCAGGGTTTTAAGCAGGTGAGGAATATGACTGGACTTGTGTTTTGGACGACCACGCTGGTAATCTAAGGTTCTTTTGTTTGCTGGGCGCTGTAAAGCCTGGCTCAGAGTGATCTCCTTTCGTTTGGGAGTTAGAACAGATAATCACTTATATTCACATAGCTCAACCATTCACTGACATCATCTCATTTAATCCCTACCACCAGTCCTGCAAGTGGGTGCAGCCACCCCGTCTCACAGCTGAGGAAGCTAAGGCTCAGAGCCGTGAGGAATGATTGCACCGTCAGACAGGTCCCAGGGGATGGATGCAGTCTCATATCTCTCTGGGCTCGAAGCCCACATTGAGCTCCTTGTGCCCACCTTGGCCTGTGTCCACCTTGGGAAGGGGTGGGAGGCAATCCTGCATTGTCTACTGAGCCAGGGACCACCTTCCCATCTTTACGGGACCTGGAGACCAAGCTTGTGCCGAGAGGAAAGAAGGCTGGATGAGATCTCTGGTTTCCAAACTCTGGATCTTGAACCTGTGCTGGGCTAGCAAGTGAAACATGCATATTCCACATCTAGTGGGAAGGGGCCTGGGAATTTTTTGTCTAACAAGTGCCCAGCTGGGTGGAGAGCTTTTGGAGATGGTCCTCGAGGTTCCGTCCACCCCTCTGATTCTTGAGTCTGTGAAGCAGCCTGGGCATGAGGGTCATCCAGGACTGTCTCCAGCATCACAGAGTTATCAGGTTGTTAGGCCGACAGCACAGCCTAAAACCAGCAGTGCTGGGGCTGGAGGAGCCAGTGCTCTCCCGCTTCTAATCAGTGTGACTCAGGCCAGTCCCTTTACCTCGCCTCCACCTCCTTGTTCAGAACATGGGGATGGTCACAGAGCCTGCACCAGGCAGCGGTCACCTGTGAGATGGTGCAGGAAAAGGACATTGGACCAGTGAGAAACTGGACGCTCTCAAAGCTCAAGCATCTCTGCTGAGGTCGGGGAAGTCTGGCCCCAAAACTCATGCTTTTAACCAGGCTACGCTCCGTTTGGACCCCTCCCTCCCCACACTGGGTCATGCGCCACCACATCTGGTGAATTAACAGTCACTCATGACGTCACCTTAGCTGAGAAGGCACATTCCTTTTTATTGCTGCATTTGATCCTTACCACCCCCTGCAATAAATGAAAGGGGCACCCCATTGTACATATGAGAAGCCCAGAGCTCAGAGAGGGAATGTGATACACCCAGGGATGCACAGCTGGTTTGCTGCATTCTGTTTCAGGAAGGGGCAGAGTTCCAGAGTGATAGTGGTGGTTGGGGAAGGAGTGTGCCAGGGGCCTAGAGAGGCAGCTGGGTGGGAGTGGCACCCAGTATGGGATGGGGGTGCCCAGGTAGAGAACAGGGCTGATTCCACCCTGGTACCACCCTCCAGGAATTTGGGCCACTCTGGGTGTCTGCAGCAGCCCCTGGGCTAAGCCAGGCCATTGGCACTGGTGGGGCGGCTAGAGCGGACTCAGATAGAGCTGATTAATTTATCCAGGTCCCTGGCAGGAAACAGACGGGGAGCAGCTGGCTGGCTCTTTGGTGCTCCATTAATTGTGACAATGACTTTAACCCCAGATGTGACGCAGTGCTGCCCAGAGCCCTGCCTGCAAGTGGAGCACAGTGTGGGGGGCCTTCTTAGGGCTGGTGGTGCAGGAGGGGCATGCACTGTTTCAGGTGAGGCTGGCACACCCTAATCTGCTTCCCTGGTGGTCCCCAGAGGCAGGCATAGGTGGGCTGGAAAGAGGCTGCCAGTTCAGCATCATATCAGTCCCGTTCGTCAAGTGCCGTCTGTGCCCGGTCCAAGCTGAGCGTTTCGTAGGCTTCTCCTCCATTTATCCTCTCAAGCCTCGCTGACGTGGGGCCTTTCTGAGCCCCCTCTTACAGATAGGGCCACTGAGGGCTGAGACCTTATAACTGGCCAAGACGAGGGCAGACTGAGGGTCTTTTGTCAGACAGGAAAGACTTGAGATGCCCCTGGTCCCCACTCCAGTGCTTGTGGAACAGCTCGGAACCCACAGATTCTCAGAGCACCACGAGGAGTGGGCTCTACCTCCCTCAGCCCTCGACCCCACCCCGGCTTCCCCTCACCCCACCCCCCTGCTTAAGCAATAGGATCCGTTGTTCAAGGACGATACACATAGAGGTCCAGGAGAGAAGATCAAGGCACTGCATCTCCAGTGGAGCCAGGACAGGGACCCTGAGCCTGCCCCCTCCAACCACCCTCGGCCCCCACCCCCTCATCAGAACCCTCAGGGAGCCACTGAATTCAGCCCAGCAACGTCTGCTTCTGGCCAGCCAGCATTCTGCAGCTGAGGAGGCTGGGGCCCAGAGAGGAGCAGCAGCTTGCCCAAGTTCACACAGCCAGTTAGTGCCTGAGCCAGGCCCAGCACCCAGGCCTCTCGACTCCTAGATCATTTCTCAACACTGTGTTTTTTAAGCCTACAGTTCCGTGGCATTAAGTACATTCACATTGTTGTGTGACCATCACCACCGGCCATCTCCAGAACTCTTTTCATCTTCCCAGACTGAAACTTTTTTTTTTAACATTTTTTATTGATTTATAGTCATTTTACAGTGTTGTGTCAAATTCCAGTGTTCAGCACAATTTTTCACAGACTGAAACTTCTGAACCCACTAAACTATAACTCCCACTCCCCTCTCTCCCCAGCCCCTGGCAGGTACCACTCAACTTTCTGTCTGTATGAATCTGACTTAAGTACACCATGTAAGCGGAAGCGGATGGGATTTTGTCCATCTGTGTCTGGTTTATTTCACTTCGCATAATGTCCTCAAGGTTCCTCCATGCTGTAGCATGTGTCAGAATTCCATTCATTTTTAAGACTGAGTAATATCCCATTGTATGGATATACACATTGTGTTTATCCATTCGTCCATAGATGGACATTTGTGTTTCCACCTTTCAGCTGCTGTGAACATGGATGTGCAAATACATGTCTCTGCTTTTATTTCTTTGGGGGTGTTTAGGTGTATTCCAAACGTGGAATTTATGGTAATTCTACGTTTAATTTCTTGAGGAACTGCCCGACTGTTTTCCAGAGTGGCTGCCCCATTTTACATTCCCACCAGCAATGCACAGAGTTCCAGTTTTTTCACATCCTCTCCAACACTTGTTGTTTTCTATTGTTTTGATAATACCTAATGGGTGTGGAGTTATATTTCACTGTGGTTTTGACTTGAATTTCCCTAATGCTTAGTGATGTTGATCATCTTTCTATGTGCTATTTAGCCACCTGTATGTCTTCTTTAGAGAAATGTCTATTCAAGTCCTTTGTCCATTTTTAAATAGGTCTGTTTGGTTCTTTGTTGGTGACTTGTAAGCATTCTTTACATATTCTGGCTATTAAACCTTGATCAAATATATGATTTGCATATATTTTCTTCCATTCCGTGGATTGCCTTTTCATTCTGTTGATAGTGTCAGTGATGGTCGCTGGTTTATTTCTGAATTAGTGATGCCTGGCCAGCACCTGCCACTGAAACAGTCACACTCAACTTTCCCGCATCCTGGTACTCCCTTGCGTGAGACCCAGGCCAGCCTGTGAGCCCCCAGCCTTAGGCTGAGGGCAGAGGGAACGTCAAGCACAGCAAGGCAGAGGGAGTCCATCCATCAGACAGTCATTCAACAAGCACTGGTGCAGGGAGCGCTGCTGAAGGATTTGAGGTGGGCAAGGGCAAGGTCAGGTTCATGCATTAGAAAGATCCTCTGGCAGCTGATAGGAAAACTGGACCAGTGGGCTCACTGATTTCCCCAAGCAAGTCCCCCCACCCTGGGAGTAACTGCGTAGAAACAAGGTCAGAGCTTTGTAGCTTTGGCATCATTTCAGGTCCTGACCCCAGCACTTACTCGCTATGTGACCTCAGACACCAGGCTCTGTGTCTGAGCTCCTCTTTTCCTTATCCGTGAAAGGGTGGCAAATAACACTTCCCCCAAAGGGTGTGACACCTGTGAGATTATGTCCATAGGGTGCTTGGCATCTGGCGGCAACAGTCCACAAGACAGTCTGCTCCTTGAGGCTGGAGATGTCCCTCCCTCTTCCCCAGGATGCCCCCCACGCAGTGTGTGCAGCAGGTGGCGAGAGAGGGCCAGGTGCTGCCGCTCGTTTCAACTGGCTGTGCTCTCTCTGCCCACAGTGGGACTCCATCAACGAGGTGGACGAGTCCTTCAGGCCCATCCACACATACCAGGTGTGCAACGTCATGAGCCCCAACCAGAACAACTGGCTGCGCACCAGCTGGGTGCCCCGCGATGGCGCCCGGCGCATCTACGCAGAGATCAAGTTCACCCTGCGGGACTGCAACAGCATGCCTGGCGTGCTGGGCACCTGCAAGGAGACCTTCAACCTCTACTACCTGGAGTCGGACCGCGACCTGGGTGCCAGCACACAGGAGAGCCAATTCCTCAAAATCGACACCATTGCAGCCGATGAGAGCTTCACGGGCGCCGACCTGGGCGTGCGGCGCCTCAAGCTCAACACGGAGGTGCGCGGAGTGGGCCCCCTCAGCAAGCGCGGCTTCTACCTGGCCTTCCAGGCATTGGCGCCTGCCTCGCCATCCTGTCTCTCCGCATCTACTACAAGAAGTGCCCCACCATGGTGCGCAACCTGGCCGCCTTCTCGGAGGCAGTGACAGGGGCCGACTCGTCCTCGCTGGTGGAGGTGCGGGGCCAGTGCGTGCGGCACTCTGAGGAGCGGGACACGCCCAAGATGTACTGCAGCGCCGAGGGCGAGTGGCTGGTGCCCATTGGCAAGTGCGTGTGCAGCGCCGGCTACGAGGAGCGGCGGGATGCCTGCGTGGGTGAGCGCGCCTCCAGGCGGCTGGGCCGACGGCTGGGCTTGGTCTGGGCAAGGCTGCTGGGGTGCAGGGGGCATGGTTGGCACAGTTAGCAGGCGACTGGGTGGTGCACACAGCACCTGGGAAGATAGGTAAACCTCCCGTGTTCCTGTGTCCCCAGGCCACCTGTGTGTGTATATATGTGTGTACTGGGAGGAGGGAGACACACCACAGCCAGGTGGACCCTCCATGGGCATCGTGGAGAGGTACCTCTCCGGGCACTGGTGTGATTGTGGGTACTACTGGGTACGGACCTGTGTTAGGGAACAATACTGTGTGTGACTTAACTTATGTCTGGCATTATTCTAAGCACTTTTCACTCATTAATTCATTTAATCCTCAAGTGAAATAGAAACTACTATTATCTTGGTTTTATAGATGAGGAGACTAAAGCACAGAGAGGCAAAGCAACTTGCCCGAGGTCACACATTTAGGAAGCTGCAGAGCTATGATTTGAACCCAGAAGTTGGGCTGCAGGGTCCAGGCTCAGAACCACTGAGCCTAACCTATCAGGTGGGAGGGGTGGATTGGAACCTGGGCTCAGAATGAACAAGTGTAATACAGGGCCAACGTGATGGTGTGCGGGCAGGGGCACCCAGTGAGGACTGTCTGGGCTGGATATGTCACTGGGGCCCCTGAAGCGGCCCGCCTGTGTTCAGTGGGAACTTATCTTGGGACCTGTGGGAGAGGACAACCAAGAGCTCTTGGGTCACGAAATAGCACCTGTTCCCATGGATGTACGGCTGGGGTTCCTGCATCAGAGACCAGCAGGGGCCAGAGCCCAGGCCGGGTGCGTGTGTGTGTGTGGTCAGCAGACCCCATGTGGGGGCCGTGCAGCCAGGCATCCTGACAGTCCGGGAGCATTGGGAGAGCTGATGTGCACAGACAGCTGGTGCCCCAGCTGTTACTGGTCTTGGCCTGGTTGCCTTCTGCCCTTACTTGGTCTCCCCAGGGGCTGGACATGTGGCAGCTCCACCACTCAGAGCGCAGTGAAGCCTGCTGCTGGGACCACTGGTTCTCCTGGGGGAGGAAGATGTTCCTAGGCAGAGATCAGAGACAGGGCCTGAGCCCAGACAGCCTCAGTGAAGACTAGCGCGGTGCCATGTCAGCCACTAGGACCACCCTCTGAGCCCTCTGCTGCTACTCCACGGGCCCCAGGACCACAGTCAGAGGGACCTCAGCCCTCTCAGCACCATCCCCCTGCCCTCGCCAGCAAGAAAGCCCCTTGGTGCTCACAGGACTGAGCAGGACACAGGCTGACAGTTTCAGGTGATGTGCAAGGTAGCTTCAGAGTCCAGCCTGGTCCATCTTGGGAGCTGTCTTGCCCTGATGTCTCCAGGACCAGAATCTTCTGTCCAGCCACCAGGCCATTCCTGCCCTTCTCCAGGGCTCTCTGATTTCCTTAAGAAATCTTTTTTCACACTGCCAACTGCTACGAGTCTTCACCTCTCCTGGACCCTAAACCCCAAAGCACTTTCTGTGATATTTGCTTGTTTCTGCATTTGTTCTATCCCCTGTGGCCAAATTTTCAGGCTCCCCAGGCCTCCAGCCTCTCCTGGTTCCTTCACAGACATCCAGTCCTTCTCAACTTCCCGCTGGGTAATAATAACAAACATCTCTGTTGCCTTTACAGCTTGCAGGGGGATTTCTCGTATATCCATCCATTGGCTCATTGTAACAAGGCAGGTCTTACAGTTCCATTTTACAGATGGGGAAACTGAGGGTCAAGAAGTAGTATCCTGCTTAGGTCTTACAGCTGCTGAGAGGTGGAGCTGGGCCCTGAGTCAGGTCTGTCTTGCGCTGGCTGAGCCATGTGTAGACTTTTCACCTATTCCTGTCCCATCCTGACCGCATTCCCTGCTAGAACTGACTCCCAACATTCCCTCATTCTGGTGGGGATAATAAAGTCCCTTAGGGACAATTTTCTGAATGTCTTCCATATGCCTGGCACTTCAATGAGCATTCTGTACACATCATGTCAATTACTCATTCTGTTAAGCATTTACTGTGTCCCAGGCAATGAGGATGGAGGCACACAGAAGTCACTGCCTTCGGAGATTCATATAGTTTCTCATCCTTGAAATAGTCCGCTAAGCTAGGTATTATATCCCCATTTTACAGATGTGAAAAACTGAGTCCCCTCAACTTAAGTGGCAGAGTAGGGATCTGATCCCAGGTCATCTCACTCTAGAGCCCTGAACTGCTTCCTCTGTCCACGAAGCCCTCTGCAAACGAAGCCCTGCTTCCCCCTTCCCTGGGGTAACATTAAGACGGTTGGTAACCAGTACAGTATAAGCTGTAACAGTCGGGCAGGCCAGCCAGTGGATACCTGCTCAAGGTCTGCTGCCCTGGCCCTAGGCTGAGCCAGCCAGCACAGGCAGACCACCTGTTTGTCCATTGTGCACACTTGTCTGTAGGAGGGAGGCTGGTCCTCCTGACTTCGGGGTCCTGGCCTCACTCAGAGGAGTCCTGCTCCAGCCTCCTTTTTTGATGGAGATGGGAAGTAGAGTCCAGAGAGAGAATGTGTCTTGCCCAAGGACCCGCAGCATGTCAAGGGCAGGACTGTTGGTGGAAACACCAAGGCCTGAGCAGTGGGACCTCCCCAGGGTCAGGCAGAGCCAATCAAGGTCACTCTCATTTCCTGGCACTGCTGGCACATTAATAAAAAATATAAGGACATGCCAAAGCAGGGTTAGGGAATTGCAGCATATTTTGAATTTTACATTTAAATCTCAATATAACATAATTATGCCAGTTGCAAGATAATTACAGGTTTTATAAAAAATATTAATTCATAGTGCACTGCAGGCAGTGAGGTTTGGGGACGGGATGCCAGTTTTAAGTCGCAGGAGGTGAGACTTTTCTCAACCCTGTCAGTGGGCTTCTGTGATTGTCTGTTAACCTCCTTTGAAGAAGCACCACAAGTGCAAAACAGGCCCTCCCCTAATGGGAGGCCCAAGCCTGCAGCCCTGCCAGTGTCCCCCATCCCCACCCGCTCCTTGGTGGGTACCCTGAGAGTGGGGAGGATGGGGGCCGAGCGGGAGCTGGGCACGGACTGGAGGTGCCTTTCTTGGGCTACTTGAGATGTCCTCTCAAAGCTGAGGCCCTGCCCAACCTGAGCTGGACCTCCTGAGACCCGCTGGGCCCTGGCCGTCTCCATTGGGCAGTTCTCTCTGAGCAAACAGGGCTGGGCGAGGGGTTCCCGGCTTCCCCCGCCCGAGTGCCCCTCCACCTTCCTTTGAATGACAGGAAAAGGATCCAGAGCTTGAGGCCTGGAGCAGTGGCCAGGCCCACAGCGACAGCTACCCTCCCAGCCTACCGGTTCCCAACTCGCTGGCCTCACCCTCACAGCTCCCCGAAGAGATGGCTGGGCATCACTCGGTTTTACAGAGAAGACAGCAAAGCTCAGGAGAGGTGACTAGCCGGTCATGTGGCTTTTTAGAAGCCTCACTGAGACTGCGCTCAGGCCTCAGAGACCCATGGGAGCCTGTCAGAGCCATTCGGAGCTAGTCCAGCTTACCAGTGGGGAAATGGAGGCCCAGAGAAGGGAAGTGACTGGCCCGAGGGCACACAGCTAGGAGAGCTGATTGAATCTCAAATCTCCCAACCCCCTGACCAGAAAGCTCCCCACACTACATAGTTCCTGACCTAGTGAGCCACCCCCACACCTGGCTGCACCCCCCCTCAACAACTCCAGGGAGTGGAGGGACCTCTCAGAGCATCACTCGACGGAGCAGCCGCCCGAGTCTCAAGTCCTGCTTGCCGTCCTTTCTGTCACCTGGATGCGGAATACAAACCACCCTCTGCGGCCCTAATCATCTTTCTATAAATATCAGAGCTTCTCATTTCGGAGGGGCAGCATGAACAACGAGCTCTTTTGCCTTCCTGACTGTGTTTAAAATCTGATTTAGAATTAATTTCCTTTGGTCGTCCACCGGCGGACACCTTATTTGTCAAATCTCAAGCTCCTTGTGGGGGAGAGGAGAGAGGTGGCTGGGGCCTCCGGCAGCTGCCAGCCTGACAGGCGGCCTGGGCAAGGTGCCCTCGGCAGGGGCAGGAGCCCCTCCTGGCCCACGGCCGACACCGGGCACCGCGGACTCCGGAAGCACCCTGGGTCGACGGGCAGGGCCGGGCCCCAGCCCAGAGCCACTCCATCTGTCTCGGCCATTCATTCCCGGCTCTGCCTCCAGGTCTCCGGGCTCCCCGAGGCCTGGTGATTAGTATTCTTATTAAAGATTATTTTATTTTCATTGAGCGGATTAATCTAGCCTTGACACTTCATAGCCATGTGGGTATTAGCCGAGCGTGTGAGAAGCGCCCACCGGTGAGCAGCAGAATGACGGGGCCGTCTCTAAGCTGAGGCCGGGTGTTGAGAGGCTGGTGGGGAAAAGACCCTGGCTCTGGAGGCTCCCCGCTTGGGTGTGCATCCGGCTCAGAGGGGAACCTCCCCGAGCCTGTTTCCTATCTGCCAAACAGATGTATCCATGCCGACTACATAGATTGGTAATAACAAGTGCCAGGCATTGTGCTGGCATGAATTCACGTGTACTCACTCATGTCATCCTCACCGCAGCCCTTGGAGGTGGAAACTATTATTATCCCCATTTTACAGATGAAGGCACTGAGGCCCAGCAACTTACCCAATATCAGCTTAGGGGAAGGGGTTGGACAGGGAAAGGAACCCAGGCAGCCTGTTCCCAGGTTTCTGCTCTTAACTGGTAAGGACTCGATGAACTTGGTGAATGGTCAGGGACCCAAAAAAAAATGAAAACTGTCGTGCTGTTGCTTCTTTAATGCCATGGATCTCACCAAGATGTCACTGCATGTGTACTGGTCTACCCCTTGCTGCTCTGAAATCTCCTTGAATGCAGAACTAGTTCTTCTGTATCTCCGATGCATAGTGGAAGCTCAGTAAATTTGGGTGAAGGAATACATGAGGGACAGAGTAAGCAAATGGTTCCTGAGATGTTACTCGATGTGGATCTGATAACTACAATGAGGAAGACTGTCATTCAGTTCAACAGGCTCAGCAAATATTTGCTGATGAAGTGTAAAGCCTGCTTCCTCTGCTGGCTTCCTGGGCTCAGAAGGAAGCTCTTAGGCTGTGTCCCAGGACTGGGGCCTCCCAGAGGGGCTTCCAAGAGGAGGAGGTGAGATCACAGTGTGTCATCTGGGAGCCCCCACATCTCTGAGCAGCCAGGCCCTAGCCAGGCCTGAGCCCTCTTGGTGTCTCCCCAGAGGGTAGGGAAGATGTCTCAAAACTGAGGCACATCGTCCTGGACTCCTCAGCCTGTCAGCCCCTGCTGGCTCCATGGCCTCTGAGTCTGGGAAGCAGCTCAGGGGCCTCATCATTTCTCCTGATTTCAGGTTTTCTCTCAAGTTTGTAGAATTTTACAAATTAATCTGATTTTAGCTATTGTAATAAAGAGATACTATCAAAATAAATGCCATGATACTTTTGCAAATGAAGCTCCTCTCAAGCACTGAGTTTTCCAGAATGGGACTTAGTGGAGGGAGAGCCCAGTGAGTTTCCTGGTGGTCCATGTTGCAGAGCAGTTCAGTTCCACCGGTGGAGCTGGGAGCCACCTTGCTGGGTGACATTTGGTCCTCTTGATCTCCTGGGGTCTCTCTCTGCCCAAAGAGGATAATGGCAGGATTAGCTCACTTTGAAAACTCCCACCAGTATTGCCAGCTTCTGCCTTGGGCCAGACAGTAGAAACTTTGAGATGAATAAGACGGCCCTGCCCTGTTCACAAGGATCTACCCACAAGGAGAGAGTCAGGCACATAGATGAAAAAGTACAGCCATAGTGTTGCAGGTGGTGAGACTGAGCAGAGGCTGCAGAAACAGGGAGGGGAGTGGTTGCTCCTGTGTGTGTGTGTGTGTGTGTGTGTGTGTGTGTGTGTGTGTGTGTGTGTGTGTGTGTGTGTGTGTGTGTGTGTGGAGGTGTGGAGAACTCCAGAAAGTCTTCATCAAAGAGACAGTTAGAATGAATCTTGAAAGAGCTTGACAGTGTGACGAAGGAGAAAAGTTATCCTAGGAAGAAGGCACAGTATATGCAAAGGTCCTGAGGCAGGAAACAACCTCCTGGGTGGGGGGAATGTCTAGTCCTTTAGTTTGGCCTGAAGGAGAGGGAGTGAGAGGTGGCAGTGAAAGAGGCTTGGGGAGGCTTTGAATGCCAGGCTTATTGTTGAGGCCATGGGGAGCCTGTGCAGATTTAGGCTGGCCATGTCATTTTGGAGAATCCTTCAACCTACAGCATCTCCACTCTCTGCATGGCTGACTCGTTCTTAGCCTTTAGGCCACAGCTCAAATACCTTTTTGGGGAAGGTGGATCCTCCCACCTTTTACCCTTTGCCACATTCTCTGCTTTATTGCCTTCTGGAAATGATCACAGCCTTGTTTACTGTGTCTACCCCCATCCCCTTGAAAAATGCCAGCTTCCTGAGGGCAGGGGACCTTATTCATGGCTGTGTCTCCAGTGCCCAGATCAGAGCCGGGCACAGAGCAGGTGCTCGTAGATACTGGCTGAATGAATGCCAACCTCGCCGGCAGTGGGGCTGGAGAGGCAGAGCTGGAGGCCGGGTTTGGAGGCAGCTGTGGTCATGCAGGGGAGAGGTGTGTGTCGCAGGAGAGATGCTCAGATGCGAGACAAGTCAGTCCCAGCCGCAGGGACAGTGATGTGGGGTCTGGGAGGGTCAAGGGCCTGTGATTCCTGGACCGTCAGCATTGTTCGAGGAGCTTGTACCACACAGATTCCCAGGCCCCGCCTCCACTCTTCTAACTCAGTGGTGGCAATAGGGCCACGATCTGCATTTTTATAAGGATGGTTCCACTGCTGCCTGTGTCTGAGAACCGCTGGTCTCAACACACATGTCTCTTTTCCAGTGACATTCCCACCCACGCCCTTGCCCTGTCTGGCTTTCACGTCCCACCCAAATCACATTCCTGGGGGTTTGGCCCCCTTGTATTCTTAGTCTTGACCCTCGCCCCTGAGGCTGGTGTCGTGATCAAGGAGGGGCCGTTGGAGGCAAGGCCAGGGGGATTTGGAACGGCTCCTCCCTCAGCCAAGTTTGGGACTGCGACTCAGGTATCAGGGCCCAATCTCAGCTCTGCCCCAGACTTGCTGTGCATCCCTGTGGAAGTCACAGGCCTTCTCTGTACTTCAGTCCCTCCATCTGTGACGGGGGAGGAACAGGTGATGCCGAAGGTCTGCACCTGTCCCTTGGGGGACCCTCCAGGAAGCCCTGGGTCAGAGTGAGGGGGTCCCTGAGGCCCGTCAGGGTCGCCTGTCTGGCTCACCTGAAGCCACCTTCTCCTCCACAGCCTGTGAGCTGGGCTTCTACAAGTCGGCTCCCGGGGACCAGCTCTGCGCCCGCTGCCCTCTGCACAGCCACTCTGCAGCCCCTGCTGCCCAGACCTGCCGTTGTGACCTCAGCTACTACCGCGCAGCCCTGGACCCACCGTCTGCAGCCTGCACCCGTGAGTACCAGCCCATGACCCTGGAACCTTGGAAACCGGGCCAGGACCCCATGCTCGGTCCCACAGGCCCCAGGGAGCCAGGTCTCTATGGATGAGGCAGAGACAGGTGGCTCTCTTGGGCCAGGGGCCAGTCTGGGGCGAGGGGTGACTCTGACCCCTCAACAATCTCTGGGCTCCCAACCTCTTGTCGTAGGTCACCTGCCATCTCTCCAGGAAAATCTTTCCTTCCCTTCCTTGGTCTCTCCTCTTTGCTCCAGAGGGCAGACGAGACCTGGACTCAGCTCTTCCCAGCACCACGTGGCTTTGGTCGTCTTCTGACCCAGTGGTGATGCCAGCGTCCTGGGGACTGGGGTGGGCGAGCCAGGGTGGTATCAGAGGAGCCCCCCATCACCATCATCCTTGATAAACTAGTGGTTGCTGCTGAATGCTGGGAGCTGCTTTAGTGTGTGTGGGTGTGTGCATGATTGTGTATAGGGAGTGTGTGTGGCTGCTGAGTTTGTGGTTCTCTGTGTGCTCTGGGAGGCCTGCAGCGATCATGACTGTGTGTCCGTCAGTCACTGCTCTTACAGAAGATGCCTCCATCGTGTTTATGTGTCTGCGTGTGAGTGTTTGAGTGCTTGTGCCCATGTATGCAAAGTGTTCTTAGAGGGATGTGTGCACACGTGTGTGTGTACATCTGGGTACCTGTAGTGGACTCCTAAGTCCCCATGGAGCTTGTACGAGCATGCCTTGTGAGCTCAGCATGTGCGCACCTGGCCCTACAAGGGAGGCGTATGCCTGGAGAGGGTGCGATAGTGTGCACGTGTGCCCTGTACCTGAGGGGACTCCGGGGGACTCTGGTGCCAGGCCTGCAGGGCTGCGTGACTGTCTTGGCGTTCTGCTGACGCGGCTCCTCCATTGCTTTCCCTCCCCTGGCCTGAAGGGGCCTCTCACACTCCCATCCCAGCTGGGGAGGAGTGGCAGCCAGCTCAGCCCACCCTGTTCACCAGCCCTGAGCTCTTGGGGTGGGGTGAGGGTTACCTCACACAGGGCTGACCGATTTTGCCTTCGAATTTACCCCAACCTGATCTCCATCTCTCCCTCCCCCAACCTCCATCACCACCCAGCCCCAGACTCCCTGCACATGGCAGGTGAGGGCCCACGTCACACACACACACACACACACACACACCCCTTCCCTCCCTCCTTCCCTCCGCAGTTCTGCCCAGACCTGTGAGTGTGCCCCAGGTGGGGCCTGCTGGGGCAGAAAGGATGGCTGAGGGGCACAGGGACTGCTGTGGGCTCCCCAGGCTGGCTGAGCCCAGCTCTGGGTCGTGGACACTTGTTCTCAATTGGCTGGATTCCAGTTTCTTTCCAAATTCACAACCAGTGCCCTCCAGTTCTAGGAATGTTAAGACTGTAAAAGGCTGGGATTTTAGTATTCCATATCCTTCAGAGTCTACGGTTCTCTGTGATTCTGAGATTCTCCAATTCTGTTTTCTTAAGATTTAAGATTCCCTGCTTGGGATTCTGAGAGTTGGAATTCTGAGCCTCAGGGGTCTCCATCATCCCCCGTGCCCTCCTGGTTCAAATCCCCACCCCCAAGATGCTACCCCAGCTCCCAGCCCACAGCCCCGCCCCTCTCTCCAGTGTCCTTGTGCTGCCCAGACTGGGACTCCCATCCGTGGGGGAGGGGGCCGCTTGGCGTGCAGGGCTCTGCTTTTCTCCACCACAGTGTTCGGAGTCATTTACAGTAAATCCAGCCAGGGTGTTAGAGTGGAGTGTGGGATGCAGATGACTGGGCATCCCACACCCAGGGTGGCTGCTGTGGGCAGTCCCTCCCCAGCTCTGGATGAAAATTTTGTGAAGCACAAACCGAGGGGTCTCTGCATGGGGAGCGGGGTGGTTTCTGTGCCCAGCCCTGACACCGTGGTCCTGGTCTGATGGCAGAGAAACTGCCTCTGCCCTCGGGGAGCTTCCAGAGGATGCAGTGGGTGTGACCTTATCCTTAGGGAGCCCCAAACATTGTGGGGGAACCACAGCCCTTCCCTGATCTGATGGAAGGAGACAAGACCAGCCCAAATAAGTATCCTCCATTCCTTCTGTCATTCTGTGTCCCCCAGGGCCACCCTCGGCACCGGTGAATCTGATCTCCAGTGTGAATGGGACATCTGTGACCCTGGAGTGGGCCCCTCCACTGGACCGCGGTGGCCGCAGTGACATCACCTACAATGCTGTGTGCCGCCGCTGCCCCTGGGCCTTGGGTCACTGCGAGACATGCGGGAGCAGCACCCGCTTCGTGCCCCAGCAGACCAGCCTGGTGCAGGCCAGCCTGCTGGTAGCCAACCTGTTGGCCCACATGAACTATTCCTTCTGGATAGAAGCCGTCAATGGCGTGTCTGACCTGAGTCCCGAGCCCCGCCGGGCCGCCGTGGTCAACATCACCACGAACCAGGCAGGTAGGCGGAATCGCGCGTCCTCAGCTTCCTGGCCCCTCGCCCTCCCAGGCATCAGAGCATGGATTTGCTGTGGCCTTTGGGCAAGTGCCTGCCTCTCGAGGCCCTGCCTCCTCACCAGGACTCGGAGCTCAGGGCTCTTCTCACCCTTAGAAGAGTGGTACATGTCCCGTAAGTGGGAGGAATCCAAAGAGCACAGAGGCAGGCTAGCGTGGCCATCCTAGGCCTGGGTTCTGGAACTTTCTCTGCCTCTGTTTCCTCCCTGATGCAATAAAAATAATCGTACCTGCTCGGTTATTGTCACAAGGCTTAAATGAAGGAAATGGAAATGCTTAGCCCGGCACCTGGCCCGTGGTCTGTGCTCAATAAATGTCATTAAAGAATAAAATCACCCTGATTATCATTTTCCAGAACAGCTGCCACTGCTGCCCCGGGATGGATTTGGTCTCACTGGTTTGGACAACAGCCATTTATCTCTCTGTTTCTAGTCAGTTGTTGGGCTGAATTTAGCCCCTTTCTCTCCAAATTCCAGTGGGTCCTGCCTGTCAAGTGGCAGCCTGACCCCAGAGCCCACAGCAGCAGCTTCCCCATTAAAGCCCCCAGGTGTGTGCCTTGTGGCTCTTCCCCACCCAACCCCCCATCTCCTCTCAACACCACACAGGCCTGGCCCCGAGACTCTGTTCCCACCATGTCACAGAGGAGGGAACTGAGGCACAGAGCCACCCAGGGTCACCGCATAGAAGTGGCAGGGTCAGGATTCGAACCCAGGTCTGTCTCACTCCCCAGTGAGAGAGGCTTCCCAACCCTGAACCCAGGGCACCCCATCCCTGACGGCCAGGGCTTCAATCTCGCAAGTGACCCTCATTCCATCAGCATGTGTGGTGCACCTGTGAGATGCCGGGCTCTCTGCTCGGTGCTGGCAACACGAGGAGTAGGCCCACGTGTGCAGTGCCAGGCCCTGCCCCTGCCCGTGTGTCTCTGGGGCGGCCGAGGCAGGTGGCCGGCTGGTGCGGGGTTGGGGTGGGGGGCGGAGAACCTGCAGCGTTCACACTGCTCAGCGTGCCCCATCGTTACAAACAACGGCCTCCCAGGAGCCCACAAGCCCTTCCAGCCACTGGACCACTTCTCTTCACGTGGAAGCTTCCTGAAAGAGCTATCTTGCTCACACATCTGCATCCTCTCCTCTGTGGGTCTCTTCAGGCACCTACAGGCGGGTGCCTTTCCCCACCTGTCCCCAGAAATGCAGCTCAGTGGGCACCGCTGGCCCTGTTCTTCTCCTGCTTGGGACACTTTTCTCTTGCTTCCATACCCTGGCCCACCCCCCATTTTCCATCCACCTGTCTGGCCTGTCCTTCTACATCTTTCCAGCCCCTCCTTTCTACACAAACTTCCAACAGCTGGAGGACCCCAGGCTGGTCCAGGACCCTCCTCTCTTTCCTACTCACCCAGCTCCATCTTTTCTCAGTAACCTTATCAGGGCCCACGGCTTTGAATCCCACCCCCTATTCTGATGTCCCCCAAGTGTGACACCAGCACAGGCCTCTGCCCTGAGGTCCAGCTGCCCACACCCATCTCCACTCCGGTGTGTTTTAGACAAACAGCAGCCCCCAACCTGCCCCTCCCTGGCCCCCATCTCAGGACATGGCAGCACTGTTCGTGGGGTTACCCCAGCCCCAGCCCCAGTCGTCATCCTTGGCTCCCCCTCCCTCTGCCACATCCACTCGCCAGCCTGGGTCTCCCTTCAGCGTGACCCTCTCCACCCTTGGACCACCCCCAACACCCACACACACTCCGCCTGTCTTAGCTCAGGCTTCTGTAACAAAATACCACAGACTAGGGCTTACCCATCAGACATTTATTGCTCACAGTTCTGGAGGCCCGAAGTCCAAGATCAGGGTACTGGCCAATTTGGCTCCTGGTGAGAACCTCTTCCTGGCTCATGGACAGCTACCTTCTTTCTGTGTCCTCACAAAGCAGGAGAGAACTTCCTGGTGTCTCTTCTTAGAAAGGCTGTAATGCCATCGCGAGGGCCCTCATCTAGACCTGATTATGTCCCAAAGGCTCCATCTACCCTTCTCTACCCACCTCCTCCCCGGAGTCCTCTCTGGTGCCTGTTTCCCTCCTGCCTCTGAGCCCCAATCTCCCTCTGTGTCTCCCACTCATGCAGCACCTTTTGCCTTGAGAATTCTTTGGTTTTTAAGAGGCACACATGTTTCCTGGCACTGGTGTGTGTTCCTCACGTTCAGCGGTCTTCTCTGACCTCACCTCAGCCTGGCAGCTGGTGCTCACTGGCTTCACCTTCTGGATGGGGAACCTGCCCAGGGCAGGTAACAGTCCCAGCCGACTTGTAACCCCGGACCTGATTCCCAGGTGGGTGGGGTCTCCCCTGTACCGCACCCTTCAACTTAACTCTGGAGTTGCTTCTTAATTTTTCAAGTCAACCTTATCCAGCAACATTTATTGGGCACCTACTGTGTGCAGTCTCTGCCTCTGGGAGCTCCCAGGTGTGCCAGGGAGACAGGATACCCAGTTGTGAGGCCAGAGCTAGCCAGTGGGGCAGGTGGGGGACACAGGAGGTGTAGCAAAGGGGGAAGAGGAGGCCTGCGCGCTGGAGAGGACAGGGAGGACAGGATTGTAGCTTCATGGGTACTTCCCTCGTTTTGGCTGCAGCTGGTCTATATCTGACACTTCCCAGCCGACTCACCTCAAGGGTGATTGCACTGAATGCAGGACGGAGGGTGGGAATGGGTGGACGAGGGAGTGAGTAAGTCAGCAAGGGAGACCTGGTGTGACGGTGAGAATGCTTGACCTCGAATGGGCTGCGGGTTGAGTATCCAGAGCTGCCCAGTCATACTGTCCAAACGCAGGCAGTGAGGGTGCTGGTTCCCTTGATTCTTCCCCTCCCTTCTCCTTTGCCTCCTCCTTCCTCGAGCATTGCTGAGAGCCCCCCCAACACCAGGCCCTGGGCGGGGGGCGGGCGACATGGAGACTGAGACATCAGGTGAGGGGGCCCCAGGGTGGACAAGAGCGGCTGCTTGATGGGGCTGGCAGGGTCCACGTGCTTTGAGTGGATGAGCTTGTCCAGAGAGGAGGAGGCAGTGAAGGCTGGGGTGGTCGGGCTTCATCTGGGTCAAGCCAGCCCCAGCATCCCAGACTGGAACCAGGCTGTGCCGACCCCAGGTGACTGACCAGGATGGTGGCCAGTGATTTGCCAGGAGAAGTGGAGGGTACTGGCTCTCCTGGACCAGTGGCAGGACAGTTTGCAAGGTGAGGAAGGCTCAAGCCAGGATCCCTAGGCGGGGCCTGGGGAAGGGGCGGACACAGGCCAGTCCCCATTGTCACCCATTCACCCCGCTGATCTGACCTCCCTCCTCTAGCCCCATCCCAGGTGGTGGTGATCCGCCAGGAGCGGGCAGGGCAGACCAGTGTCTCGCTGCTGTGGCAGGAGCCGGAGCAGCCCAACGGCATCATCCTGGAGTACGAGGTCAAGTACTACGAGAAGGTACCCGCAGAGAGGGGAGGAGGAGGGTGGGAGCCAGGCAGAGGACCCTCGGCTGACCACCTCTCCCCTGGGCAGGACAAGGAGATGCAGAGCTACTCCACCCTCAAGGCTGTCACCACCAGGGCCACTGTCTCAGGCCTCAAACCGGGCACCCGCTACGTGTTCCAGGTCCGAGCCCGCACCTCGGCAGGCTGCGGCCGCTTCAGCCAGGCCATGGAGGTGGAGACCGGGAAACCCCGTGAGTGCAAGGAGCAGGGAGGGTGAGGGAGCTGGGCCAGGGGCTAGAGCTGGGGCCAGGGCCTTGGTGGGCAGAGTGGGGAACTAATACCCAGCATTTTGATGGGTGAGAAAACTGAGGCTCAGAGAAGGAAAATTACCGGCCTGAGGCAACAGAGCTCCTAACAGCCCATCAACCACTATTTTTCCCTGAACATCACTGGGACCTGCAGGCATCATGATGCCCTCTGCTAGCATAATAACCTTATAATGCTCCCAGAGACCCTCCAGTGAGTGGGCCGTATCCACATCCCCATTTTACAGGCGAGGAAAACGAGGGTCAGAGCAGTAAGGCAGATTGCCCGAGGTCCCCAGCAAAGCAAGACTTGAACCTGGTCAGTCTGGGGACAAATTCTGCACCCCTTCCCCAGTATCATCCTGCCCCCAGCCTCCAGAACTGTGGTTCCCACAACGTAGTCCAGGACCAGCAGCAGCCACAGCTCCTGGGAGCTGTTGGAAATGCGGATTCTCAGGCCCCGCCCAAGACCTTTTGAACCAAAAACCCTGGGGCTGGGGGCCCAGAAATTTTGGTTTGATCAAACCCTTAGGGTGATTCTGAGACACATTCACTCTTAGGAGTTGCTGCCCCCATCTCCAGCCAGTCAGGGTCTCCTGCAGTACTCGGCACCCACCAGGGCGTGGTGCTGGAATAGGAGGGTCTGAGGCTGTGTTGCTGCCCTTCCTCACCTGGCACCCCCTGGGCACTTGTGTGTCTCAAGTGCTCTTAGATCTGATACCACAATGGAACTGCCCAGATAGGAATCCTGCCCCGATCCATCCCATTTACTGTGTGTCCTTGAGTAAGTTCCTTGAGTTCTCTGGGCCTCGTTTTTTTCATTTGAAAACTAACACTAACACTGGGATCTCCCTGGAAAGGGATGTGGGGTAACTAACTAGAAGGTACGGTTCTCAGGATGTTCAGCTTTGTCACTGTTACAATAACAGGCAGAACAGGCATTTTGGGGCTCATGTTACAGGTGAGAAAACTGAGACTCTGACAAGTCTAGTGACTCTGCCCCGGTCCCCCCGTGCCAGGGAGTGGTAGCACCAGGCTGGGGAGCCAGAAGCATGGGGCCGCAGGGTCTTGAAGGGGAAGCTTATAGAAGGGAGGGCAGCGGCAGAGGGGGGAGTGGGCTGTGTCCTCACTCTGGGCTGGCTCATGGCTGAGGAGGCAGCGCACCGGCCCCAGGAGGGCTGCCAGACCTCCAGGCCTGAGGCCAGGGCTGAGAGGCTGGGCTGCCACCCTGTTTCCCCGCAGGGCCCCGCTACGACACCCGGACCATTGTCTGGATCTGCCTGACACTCATCACTGGCCTGGTGGTGCTTCTGCTCCTGCTCATCTGCAAGAAGAGGTTGGTGGTCCTGGCCCCGAGCCTCTCCCCTGGAGCATGATGTCGCCCACCTGCCCCCAGCCCCACCGAGCCCTGTGCCCAGGGCTGGGCTCACTTACACATATACCTGCTCTTCTCTCCTGCTTCTTGGAACACTTTTCTCTTGCCTTCCACACTCCGGCCCACCCCCCATTTTCCATCCACCTGTCTGGCCTGTCCTTCTCCTTCTTTCCAGCCCCGCCTCTCTACACAAACTTCCAACAGCTGGAGGACCCAGGCTCGTCCCAGACCCTCCTCTTTCCTACTCACCCAGCTCCATCTTTTCTCAGTGACCTTATCGGGGCCCACGGCTTTGAATTCCCCCCTCATGCTGATGTCCCCCAAGTGTGACACCAGCACAGGCCTCTGCCCTGAGGTCCAGCTGCCCACACCCATCTCCATGTGGAGCTGTGTTTTAGACAAACAGCAGCCCCTAATCTGCCCCTCCCTGGCCCCCATCTCAGGATGTGGCAGCACCATTCATGGAGTTACTCGAGCCCCAGCCCCAGTCATCATCCTTGGCTCCCCCTCCCTCTGCCACATCCACCCACCAGCCAGTCTCGCTGGGTCTCCCTTCAGCGTGACCCCCTCTACCTCATTCAATCCTAATGACACTGCAGTGACCTAGAGGCTCTGACCTCATTTTGCAGGAGAGTAAATTGGGCATTAGAGAGGTTAGGCCACTTCGGCTAAACACATGTCAAAACTGGGACAGGAACCCCGGTCTGTTAAAATTAAAGATCATGCTCTTAGCCCCTCTCCCCTTCCCACTCCATTCCAGAGTAATGCGCTCATTGTGGGCTTAGGATCCTACTCAGCGAGAATTGGAAGGATCAGCGGTAGATGGAGAAACAGAGGCCCAGGGAAGGGAAGGGGCTTGCCAGGGTCACATGGTGGGGTTGGCGTCGGAAGCCTCATCTCGCAACCCCTCCACCAGGGGTGCTTTCATGTAAAATGGGGCAGGTGATGCCATAGACTATGCTACGAGGGCCGAGAGGATCAGACTCTGCAAATTGTACAATGTTTGTAAATGTCAAGGGTGTCACAGTTCAGCTGGGTTGAGAGCCTGAGGCGGCGACACCCCCCTGCAGGAACAGGGCAGGGACTGGGTGGCAGGAGCTGACCTGAAAGGGGAGGGGGGTGGAAGCGAGGAGTTTGGATGCGTCCCCGTGCGGGGTCTGGGCTGAGGCCAGGGACGTCCGCCCTCCACAGGCACTGCGGCTACAGCAAGGCCTTCCAGCACTCGGACGAGGAGAAGATGCACTATCAGAACGGCCAGGGTGAGTGCCAGGGCCCGGGGGTCTAGACACAGTGAAAAAGAGGTCTAAGTGGGAACCAGTGCTGGCCTGGGGGTGCCCCGGTGGGAAGGAGACAGATACCCACAGAAAAGACCGCAGCCCCAGAGACAGACAGCAGAGTGTCACAGAGACCCAAGACCCTAGAGGCACAGTGCTGTTCACCTTTCTTGGGTTTGCAGAGGATGCTGGAGACCCTTTCCCTAGGGAAATGCACAGATTCATGCACTCACACAATTTCACATACAATTTCAGGGGGTCCTATACTCTTGGACAAGAATCCCTGCTACAGATAACTTTTCCAGGACTTTGCAGAGGCCCCAGAAAATGGCAAATATGGGGATGCATACCTCAGCACCCGACTTCTGTGCCCATGGTAGACTTTAGAATCATTCATGGTAATGAGTCCCACAGAGCCTGAATGCAGCCTCAGAATCCTTCTTAACACAGTTTTCTAGAGAACCACTTTCCATCAATCTAATGGCACTGTGATGAAACCTTTTTTGGTCACATTCCTACCCTAGAACAGTTTAGAAAGTTCTTAAGGACCCTTAAAGTGACTGCAGAAAATGACAGACATGCTCAGAACTGACTGGAAACCCCAAAGTTCCCTGGAGAGCTCAGAGCTACTCCACAGAGACCCTGCTTTCACTTTGCAAGCACTTATTGGGCACATACTGTTTGCCACCACATCCTGAGCTTCCCAGAGACACTCCTCGCCCCACCCCTAGACCCGTCCCAGGCCCAGGGAATGCTGGGAGAGAACACCCTCGTGGACCCCACTGATGGCCCATCTCTCCTGCCCCCTCAGCACCTCCACCCGTCTTCCTGCCCCTGCACCATCCTCCAGGGAAGATCCCAGAGCCCCAGTTCTACGCAGAACCCCACACCTATGAGGAGCCAGGCCGGGCGGGCCGCAGTTTCACCCGAGAGATCGATGCCTCCAGGATCCACATCGAGAAAATCATCGGCTCTGGTGAGCCTTGGGGGTTGTGACCGTGGGGACATCATGGGGGTTGCTCCAGCGGCAGTGGGGTGCCCAGGGCAGAGGGAGAAGGGAGCCCCACTGCCCGGCATGGCCAGGCTGTGGGGTCACACGGATGTGTGAAGCCAGGAGAGCACGGGAGTCCGGGATGAGGACAGGAAGGTCCCACCACCCACCCTCTGCCTGCCCAATTTGGGGTCCACAGGAGAGTCTGGGGAAGTCTGCTACGGGCGGCTGCGGGTACCAGGGCAGCAGGACATGCCCGTGGCCATCAAGGCCCTCAAAGCCGGCTACACGGAGAGGCAGCGGCAGGACTTCCTGAGTGAGGCGTCCATCATGGGTCAGTTTGACCACCCCAACATCATCCGCCTTGAAGGTGTCGTCACCCGTGGTAGGTGCCAGGAGAGAGCAGCCTTACCCCACAGGGTCCCTCCTGCTCGGATCAGGGCTCTAGGTCCATCCCTAGACCACCCTGCTCTGCTCCTGTCCCCTTGGCTCAGGTCCCAGATGACTTGACAGGGAAGGGGGCCCAGAGCCTGGGACCCCAGTGAGAACCCTAGGTTCCCTGGGGCCCTCGGTGCTGATCTGACTCCTGGTAGCTTGTGGTGGGAGGGCCTGTTCCAGCCCTGATCCCCCCACCAAGAGCCACCCCCTCCCCGTCGCCTTCCCAGGCCGCCTGGCAATGATCGTGACCGAGTACATGGAGAACGGCTCTCTGGACGCCTTCCTGAGGGTGCGTGCCCCGCCCGCCTTCCACATGGGCCAGGGGAGGGAAGTTCAGTCTGGGTGTTGGGAGATAGTGAGGCCTCCAGCCACCCCCTCCTCCCCAGAGCTTGGACCCAACAGACCTGGGGAAGAAGGCGCCAGGTATAGGGTAGGGTCTTAAGGGTCAGCCCATCAAACTGCCTCTCACCCCCCCATCACGTGTAAGTCCCTCTGCTGCACAGGTCCTGCTGCCCAGCACACAGGCTGAGGATGCCTCTGCAGGGACCCAAGGCCCCACCCGGCTGGGAGGCATGGGTAGGGGGATGGGGGGTGGAAACCCTGCCGTTTATTTGCTGGGTGCTCTTAGGCACTAGACCAAAGGTCTCTGGGCCTCCCTTTTTCCCCCTGCAAAATGGATAACCAGTCATTGCACCCCACCTGCCTCTCAGGGTTGCTATGAGTGTAAATGAAACGTGAGAACAAACCTTAAACAGTAACATGCTTCCTAAGCAGTGAGGCACTTTGCGCGCTGCAGAGAGCCTTCCTGAAGCCCAAGCCGCGTGCCTCTGCAGACTCACGATGGGCAGTTCACCATCATGCAGCTGGTGGGCATGCTCAGAGGAGTGGGCGCCGGCATGCGCTACCTCTCAGACCTGGGCTACGTCCACCGCGACCTGGCCGCCCGCAACGTCCTGGTTGACGGCAACCTGGTCTGCAAGGTGTCTGACTTCGGGCTCTCACGGGTGCTGGAGGACGACCCCGACGCCGCCTACACCACCACGGTGCGTAGCCCACACCCCTTTCCAGCAGGCCCAGGAGGGAGCCCTCCCGAGTGTCATTAGGAAAGCTGGAAATTTTAGGATTGCCTCCAACATGGGGCGAGTCCTGTCTCTTTTGTGCACCTCAGTTTGCCCCTCTGGGAAGTGGGAGCAAGCTTTCCTGCCTTTGCTCTGTCACAAACTGGCTTGGGGAGACACCAGGGCTAGTGTCACTCACTCACTGAGAGATTTGGGGAGAGTTGGTGTCTCTTTGAATCACACATCCATTCTACATCTGTCTCTAAAGTTTGGCTAAAATCTAGTATTTTCAAAATGTGCTCAGTGGGGATTTGGGCTTCTCTACAGGTGCCTTAGGAGCTGCCTCAAAGACAGAGGGCCGAGTGGCTCCTGCCTCAACCCCTGCCTCAGTCAGACCCTTCCCTTAGAATCTCACCCACTGAGCCTCCAAATAAGATTTCACTTAAACAAAGGATTTTGTGGCCAAAAAAGTACGGGGCCAGGGAGGGGATTGGAAGACTTCTAGACCACATTCTCTGAGCTTCATCCCTTGTTCAGGCTTCGATATTTAACTGAGCACCCAGTGCCAGGCCCTCCACCTGCCGTCTTTTGTTCAGTCTCCACAACAACTCCGTATGCAGGTCCCCCCATCTGAACAGGTGCCCTTGGAAGGTGGAGGTTGTGTCTCCCCAACTGGCCCGCGCGTTTCCCAGCCCCAACCCACGTCTTCAGCTCCCTCTCAACACTCGTGTGTCCATCGCAGGGAGGGAAGATTCCCATCCGCTGGACCGCCCCCGAAGCCATCGCCTTCCGGACCTTCTCCTCCGCCAGCGACGTGTGGAGTTTCGGAGTGGTCATGTGGGAGGTGCTGGCCTACGGGGAGAGGCCCTACTGGAACATGACCAACCGGGACGTGAGTGCCGGACCCTGGCTGGGCAGAGGCGGCTGGGGCCTCAGAGGGAGGCACCGCTCCAGCCCGGCGCCATGTCTCCCCTCCTCCCCCAGGTCATCAGCTCTGTGGAGGAGGGGTACCGCCTGCCTGCGCCCATGGGCTGCCCCCACGCCCTGCACCAGCTCATGCTTGACTGCTGGCACAAGGACCGGGCCCAGCGGCCTCGCTTCTCCCAGATTGTCAGCGTCCTGGATGCGCTGATCCGTAGCCCTGAGAGTCTCAGGGCCACAGCCACTGTTAACAGGTGCCTGGCACCCACCCCAGCTCCGCTCAAGCCCAGCTGCCCTCCGGCATTGCCCCAGACTCAGTCCAGGCCTTGGGATGGCTCTGCCCTGACCCGAGGACCAGACCCAACCTGGGCCCCTGCCCTCTGTTCAGCCCTCTCCTTCTAAGCCTGGAGTTTAACCCCTCAGACCCCTTGCCCACTGCCAAGCCTGGATGGAGGCTGAGGGTGGCTAGTGCCAGTTTCCCCTGGCAGGCCACTTACCAAAGGCCCCTGTGCCTTAGGTGCCCACCCCCTGCCTTTGCCCGGAGCTGCTTTGACCTCCGTGGGGGCGGGGGTGGCAGCGGGGGCCTCACCGTGGGGGACTGGCTGGACTCCATCCGCATGGGCCGCTACCGGGACCACTTCGCTGCCGGGGGGTACTCCTCGCTGGGCATGGTGCTACGTATGAACGCTCAGTAAGTGGTGGACCCCTGGGGGTGGGCTCAGGGGGAGAGGGCAGGGGCCAGAGGCAGAGCCGCTAAGGATGGCAGCTCCAGGGATAGGTGTGTCCCTGTCTCCATGGTCCCACCCTGCCTGCCAGGTCAGCACCGCCTTCCTTCACAGGGACGTGCGTGCCCTGGGCATCACCCTCATGGGCCACCAGAAGAAAATCCTGGGCAGCATCCAGACCATGAGGGCCCAGCTGACCAGCACCCAGGGACCCCGCCGGCATCTCTGACCGAACCCAGCCAGCCCGGGTCATGCCCGCCATCATGGACTTGCAGGGTGGCCACTCCAGGCCTTTGTCCCTCCTCCTTGGCTGCCTTCCTCTCGGGTACCAGGGAGGCCGAGGACTCCGCTGCCAGACCTGGAGTTATCCCGGGTCGGGCCACCTGGGCAGAGACGTTTTGGTGCCCAGCACGGCAGGGACCCCTGCCCCCAGGACAGAGGGCCTTCTCTTTCCCAGAGGCTGGGGCCTCAATGCCACTGGGCCCAACAGAGATGTCGCTCACCTGCCTCCATGTGCGTGTGTGTGCACGTGTGTGTGTGTGCATGTGTGCACTCACATGCTCTAGGGGTGTGTTCTCACGAGGTCACGGGAGCCCTTGTGAGCAGGTGTGATCATGTGTGTGTGTGCTCGCCTGTCAGGTCCCAGCATGGATGTGTGCAGGTTATGGTGCACATGCTTATTTGTTAAGGCTGGGGGCGCATGGGTGTGACCAGGGACAGCATGTCATGAATGAGGATGTGTGTCACAAGCATGAGGGTGCGTGAGCAAGAACTCGGTGTGACACTACCCATCAAATGTGGGCTCAGCTCCCAGTACCCGCAGGGTCAAGGTGAGGCTCACTTCCACCTCCCCCACGCCTGGAGGCTGGAGCCAGGGGCTACTTCCGAACCGCACCAGCACCAGGCCCACCTTGGTCTCCTCCCGGGTGAGCCCACCCCGGCTCTACCTCAGGTCTGAGCTCTCCCTCTAGCTGGTAGGAGGGCCACCTGCATCCTCCACCTGGCTCCAACTACTGCTTCAACAGGAAAACAGGGTTCTCGGCCACCCTTCTGGCCACCTTCTGTGTAGGCGTCATCACATGAGATGCCCTCAGCTGAACTTGGCTCCCTGGCCAGGGGCCAGGGGCCAGGGGCCACCAACTTTCCTCCAGTCTCTGATGCCCCTCCACGGAAGTCCCTCTGCCAACCTCACTGCCCAGCCCTGGCCTGCCCCCCAGCCCCGGCCTGCCCCCCAGCCCCCTGCCTAGGATCAGGGACCATAAGATCCTAGCTTTTCAGCCCTGAGTCCATCCCTCCTGCACCTTCTGGGCAGACAAAGGGAGTGTGCCTTGTCCAAGGGCACATGGCAGCCAAGTTTCAGAGCTAAGCCTCCTCCCAGGGCTCTCTCCCAACATCCTCCCATGCAGGCGGCTATGGGTGGGAGAGGGTTTGGGAAGCCCCCCACCCCGAGACTGCCCCTACCCTCTACGGCCCACCAGGGTATGTAAATATCTTTTTTTTCTACCATGTCAGAAAATTTTTTCCTCACTCCTGACAATGCAAAAATGGTCTTCAAAGCACATAAAAAGCACCCAGGGTGAGAAAGCCCCATCCCAGGGGAAGCTGGCAGGGCCCAAGGAACCCCAGCAGGCAGGATGCCAGGCGACCCCTGCCGGCCCCAAGGGAGGGGTCAGCCCAGCCCCCACCCCCTGCCCTGCCCTCCCTGTAGCCAGCACAGCTGTTGCGCGGAGCCACCAGCACTGAGCCCCCTCTCCCTCCTGCAATAATTCGGGGAACCTCAGCCCCGCCCAGGTGCCGCGGCCAGCTCTCTACACCTCTATATATTATATTACTATATAGCCGAGCTGTTCTTCCTTCCTATGGAAGTTGGAAACATGGTCAGAACACGATCCAGGGAGGACCCTGTCTCCTCCCAGCCCCACCCCACTCTCACCCAGTTCCTGGGCTCTGGATTCTTACAGTTGGGGGGATGCAGTGGGCGTGGCACTTGGGAAAGTGTGACCCCTGTCCCCACTGTGAGGTGCCCCTCAGGGTCCCAGGGATCTGCCTCTCTGTGGTCTCCATCCTGAATCTTGAACTTGCCCACAATGAGAATAAATTCTGCCTCATCTTTGCCTGTGTCCCCCATTTTTTTCCATCCCTACAACCTTGACCTCCCCGGCTAAGGAAGGAGCAATTTTATGCTGAGTACCTGTTGTATATAACCCATACTTTTTTCTCTCTTTGGTCTTCTCATCTATCCTAGGAGGTAGGATTCATTTTATACAAGGGGAGGCTGGGTTGTATAGAAGTCAATTTGCCTAAAGTCAATTTTGGGGGGGGGGTCTGACTAAAAACCCAGGTTTGTCCAACTCCAAAGCCCATGCTCTACTAGGAAGAACCCCCATAGGCCCCCAGTTCTCTCTTCTGTGGGGTGCAGATGGTGCTTAGCACTGGAACTCAATCCCTTGTAGCTGGGCATTGACCTTGCTTAGAGCGCTCTTGGGGAAGAAAGACACCCCTGGAGGAGGAATGACATCTCATGGGGACAAATTCCATGGGAACAAGGGGTCTAAGGAGAGGCCTGGGTGCGATGGGGCAGAAAAGGGAGGAAGGAGACAAGCAGCTTCCATAGTTACTTCAGGGGCTGAGGATCCACCTTGGCTCCCGGAGAGAGGGGGACAGCAGCAGGAGACAGGGTGGTGGCATCAGAGGTAGAGCAGCACCTACTGTGTCCATTTGAGCCAATGGCTCAGACATTTGGGGAAGACACCCCTGGGGTCTTCTTGATGAACAAGAAATGATTCCCAGAAGCACCTCTAGCTGGAAAGTTCTTCACTCCTACCCCTCCCTCAGACTGGGGAAGGGGAACAAGGAGAAAACACATCAAGTGTGTTTCCTACAATCTCACTAATAATCATGCTCAGAGAGGTCAACGTCCCAAGTGGCAGAACCATCATATAAGGTAGAGCTGCCTGATTTCAAGCCAGGTGTGTTTCCCCCTGAAACTCCAAATTCCACTCCAGGCCACATTCCCCCACGGAGCCAGCTATTTCCTTTGAGGGAGAACCTATTACTACACACTTCTCTTCTCTAAGGGACCAACCATCAGAGCCTACTGAGCACCTAGTATGTACTGGATGCCACTGGGGATACAAAGATGGAGACACAGCCACTCCTCTTAAAAGCCGAGACAAAGTAGAGGTACCAAGTGCACAAAAAGGGCTCCTTCAATCAGACTGGGGGCGCTAGGTGTCCCAAAAATGTTGCATACAGAAGGGTTAGAGGAAGTCAGAGGAAACATAGAGAGCCTGGAGGGCCAGGGCTGTCACCAAAGGGAGAAGGGAGAAGGGAGAATTCAGCTGGGCTTTGGAGGATGAGAAGGACTTGGAGACTCATTTCCTAGGCAAACCCCTGTGCAAGAATGGAATGCAGAGGAGACAAGGAATAACAGCTACAAGAGAAACAAACCATGCTTGTGGATGGGAAGCCTCCCTATTATAAAGTTGGCTAGCTACCTCCAATTTAATCTATACATTTTATTCCCAATAACATTTGCAATGAGGTTTTCTCTGCGACTTGACAAGGTCATCCCAAAATGCATACGGAATAATAAAGAACCCAGAATAGCTAAGACAATTTTGAAGAAGAAAAAGGAGGAAGAGGAAGGGAACCTCACCCTGCCAGATCTCAATAATTACTATAAAGCTTTAGTAATTAAAATTATTTGATTTGGTCCCAGGAATAGAGAAACTGATGAAAAGAACAGAATAATGCCTAGGAGCAGATCCAGATATATATGAGTGTTTGAAACATGGCAAGGGTGGTGTTAGGTCAGTTAAATACCCCCATGGAAAAAGATAAAAGTAGATCCCTGCTCACACACTCACAAAATAATTTCCACATTGATCGAAGTCCTAAATGTAAAAAGCAGACTATAGAGCTTTTAAAAGAAAACAGGAAAATAACTTTATGATCTTAGAGCAGAAAATAAACAAGATACAACAAGCACAAGTGATAAAGGAAAACAATGATAAATCTTATTTTATTAAAATAAAAAACTAAAGGGAGGGTATAGCTCAGTGGTAGCACACACGTTTAGCATGCATGAGGTCCTGGGTTCAATCCCCAGTACCTCCATTAAAAAAACAATAATCTTTATATGACAAAAATTAAACAAAATTTGTTAAAGCCTCAGCTAGAAGAAAATATTTGCAAGCTGTATAACTAACCAAGAGAGTGAAAATAAAAAAAATTTAAAACTTCAAAGAATCGATTTATCAAAACATTCCAAAGAAATAGGGAAAAAAGATAAGAACAGACAAGTAACAGAGGAAGAAATACGACTGGCCAATAAAGATATAAAAAAGATTCTCAACATCTCTAGTAAGCACGGAAATGCAAATTAAAACAAAAATTAGATAGCATATTACACCAATCTGATTGGCAAAATTAGTCTATAACACTGGTATTGAAGAGCGTGGTGGGGGGGGATAGCAATGTTTATAAACTGCTGGTGGGAACGTAAATTGGTACAACTACTTTGGAGAGCAATTTGGAAACAGTAAATTTTAAGATGTGCGAATCTGAGACCCAGCAGCTCTGTCTTAGTGTGTGCCTGTCTTAGATTAGTTTCTCTAAGCAGTGCCTGAGATTCTCATGCAGGTGATTTATTGAGGGAGGGCTCTCAGGTGAAAGAGAGGCAGGCAGGTAGGTAGAAAGAAATGTTAAGTAATGATGTGTTCTCAGTTGGAGATTAGGTTTAATCTGATCCCATGGGGAGCTCTGGAGCATAAAGAACATCACAGAGTTGATGTGCCTTGAGGCAAGGGGGCCAGAATTTTGCACACCCATATCCATCAGCTATTTGGTATGGACTGCCCAATGCAGGGGGCAACTTATAACTTCCTGGATGAGGAAGTTCCCAAAAAGGGAGCAGCTGTGAATCCTTAGCAGCCAACACTCACAGCAGCTGGGGGCTGAGTGCACCTGCAGTTCAGAGAATCTGGGTGAAGAACCCAGAGCATTTTCTATGTATCCTAGAGAAACTCATATGAAAAAGGACATGTGGCCAAGGATATTCCTTGCTCCTCAGAATGTGATAGAAAAATGAGAAGCAGTCTAACTGCATCTCAGCAGGAGAATAGGAAAATAAGCTGCTTTATAAGTACAATGAAATAATCTATCACAGTTAAAATGAACAAACTAGATCAACATGTCCCAATATGGATAAATCTCCAGAACATAAATATGGAGTGAAAAAATAAATGACAAAGGAATGTGGACAATATTGTACCATTTATATAAACTTTAAAAATATATGTCACAATAGAATTACAGGTTTTGAATGCATAACTAGATGATGACAGTACACGTCTGGGACAGATAAACACCAGCTTCGGCTCTGTTAACTCTGAGGAAGAAAAGCAAGGAGGGAAGGGGTATTGAGCTATATTGATAGTGTTTAATTTATTTTCTTTTCTAAAAAGAGGGGGCTCTGAAGCAAACATGGCAAAATATTGACACCCATTTCATCTTGGGGGATACATACTTGTCTGTTACATTATTTTCTGATTTTTCTGTCCGTGGAAATGTTTTATAATTAGAAATTAAAATGCTTAAAAACCACAAGGGAGAGGTTCTGAGGGCTGATCTCAGGAATCTCGGTGTCTCCTGAGGAACTGGAACCAGCCCTTCGGGAAACATGTTGGGAAATGCTGTCCAGGGTGCTAGACCCCAATGGTGGAAAGCTGTTTGTGCTGAAACAGATCGTCAGGTCCTATCTGCTCTCTCCAAACTGTATCCTAAATCTAGCAATTTATCTCCACCTACCCCACAATCTGAGCCACACCACCCCATCTCCCCTAGATGACTTCAGGAGCCTCCTCACTGGTATCCCTGCTTCCTCTCTTGCCCCCATAATCCATTCTCTACAAGTGGCCAGAGGGATCTTAAAAACATAAACCAGGTCATGCCACTTCCCTAGTTACAACCCTTCAAAAAGCTTTCTATCAGGTTGATAATAACATCTAAAATCCTCATCTGGTCTAAAACATTCTACATGACCTGCTCCTGCTGGCCTCTCTGACCTCCAACCATCCTCCACCTCACTCATGCCCATCTTTTTATTTCTTGAATATCCCAGGCCATGGCATTAGCTCTCCCTCCCACCTGGGATGCTCTTCCATGTCTGCAAAATGTTCAGCCCTGCAGTGGCAGCCTGCTACCTGAGTCACTTTCTACCGTGGTACCCAATGTTGTTATCTTTATAACACATATAACCTGTTGAGATCATTTCATTCATTGTCTATTCACTTGCTTGTTTCCTGCCCACAACATTCAATGCACTCTTTAAAAAGCAGACATGTCATCTAACTTACTTAATGCTTTAACCCCAGCACACAGCACACTGATGGCCCTCATTTGTGTGTGGCAGATACATGTTGAATGAATGCATTAATGCATGAATACATACATATTTACTGAGCACTTCTTCTGTGACAGGCCCTGTGCTTGGCTCTATGATTTCTAGAATAAATAAGATCATCTTTGCCCTAAAGAGGTTCATAGGCTGGAGAAAACAGAGAAGCCAAATCATAGAATTGTCGAATGATGGAATAAGTTCCTTTGCTCTTATTACAGAATTAGAGGACTTTGAGTGAACCAGATTGTTCATGCTCCACACCACCCCTGTTTCGTAAATAAAGAAACCCAGCCTTACCCAGAGAGGGCAAAGGACTCACCCAAGTTCACACAGCACCAGAGGCCCAGTCTGGATCTGAACCAGGCCACCTACATTTTCATAGTGTGCTTTAAAGGAAGGCTCCCCTAAGCAGCTTTGAACCCTCTTCCACTTCCTGGATCTTGACACCACCATTCTAGGAACCACCTGAGAAGAGAAGCAAGTTCCCCAGAGGAGTTTGAGAAGCAAAAGAAAATCCTCAGACATATGGGCACTTTACCCTTTAATCAGACATAATGCCTAAATTTTCACCATTAGTATCTCATCTCTTTGGAAGAAGTCTTGTTCTCCTTGGACTCCCCTGAGGAGACATAGAAGCCCCCTAGAAGAATGACTCTCTGGGCCCTCAGTGTGGGCAAAACTGGCCAAACTCTCCCAGCTCAGTGAGGAAG